TAAAGAAATTTATTTCAGTGGTAAATATTATAAGTTTAACTCCCTCATATCCAATCTCGAAAATTAGGCTCATTCGACGTATTTTTGCACGAAATAACAAATTTTGCAAAAAAAAATCATTATTCTGCCCTGCGAAGCGAATGTTTGTGTTTAAAATATATTTTTATAAAAGTTTTATTAATATGTAGTCAAAGATGTAGCTTAAAATACAATAATTTTCATTTTAATAATCTTAATCAAATTACCCCGGTCCCGGGGCTAGTGGAATCAGATGGAATGCATTAGAAAATTTTTTTTCATATTAGTTATCAGTTTTCCCTTATTATTAAAATATTATTAGATAGTCAAATATATGTAGTAATTGGTATTCATTTTTTTCGATAAATCTTAATTTCGTCTGTAAAAATTCGAAACTGAAAAATGTGAGTCTACTAGCTTCAGTCTTCCCTATCTCCATAAGAGTAATGTAACAAATTATAAAAGTTAGTTTTAACTCTAAAAATTTTCATATCATTTCCTCAAAAATGTTATGTATCCGCATATTGTAATCGATCTATTTTGACAACCCCAGTTGTCGGAACAACGCGAATACTGAAATAGTAAAAGACTCGCACAAAAGCGAGATATCTATCAAATTCAGCATCCTTACTTCGACGCATTTTAACGAGCTAAATCCTTCATTGCGCGTTTTACTTTCGATTTGACGATTACTTTCGATTGTTTACGCATACGAGAATCAAGCTAATGCTATTACACGAAAATCACGCAATAAAGTATCCTAGAGATATATCACATAATGAAGCGTATATGGAACGCGAGAGACTCAATCCTCCCGATCTGATTACATTAACGACTCGGATCGATGATGCAGCGCACACGTAAACGCGCACGTGCGTGAGATACATGCATGCACATACGCAGAAATGTGCGGCGCAGCCACGGCATGACAGCACGAGAATGTTAACATGATTTAAACTATGCCGTTAAGTTAACGGGGCAAGGATCGAAGGCACTTTCAGAGTTTCGTACAGAAACCGCCATACTCAAAGCGCATGTATATACTAGGTGATCCGATTAACGCGCGTTTCTATCCATCCTCTCCAGTTTGAATATCATAAAGTTCTCTCTCTCTCTCTCTCTCTCTCTCTCTCTCTCTCTCTCGCGAATGTTGACCAAAAATGGCGGATACAAAAAAATAACAGATATTGCTTTCTCATATGAACGCATGCACAAGGGTATTACAATATGTGACAGGAAATACGTGACGACAATACCTGAAGACACCAATCGAGTTGATCAATTAGCTAAATTATGCAATTGTAATTTGTTAATTATTTTATTGTCGGACATCTTCTTTGACAGGATTTACTTATTTGCTTGTAGCTATCTACCTCTTTCTTTTCTTCGCACTCGTTTTCCGACAATGTTCGAAGCTACCAAAAAATACCGAGTGGATCAAGATGGAGAACCAATCAGAAATTTTGCCCGCTTTCGCTAAACTCTGATTATAGGATCACTAGGTGGGATGAGTATGTTACGTCGTACTTCTCTGACTTAAGAAGACTCAAGGTTAAAGCCAGATTTTTTGCATTCTTTCAACAAGTGCGCCTTAATCTCTATCATAGCTTTCAATTTAAATTAAGTAAGTCCTCGCGTTGTACCAGAACTCCAATGATTATTTGCTTTTACTTGCTTTATGTGCCGCACAGAATTTTTTAAGCAATCTTTCAGCTGCTGTGTGGCTAAGTTTTGAAATGGCATCCCGCGGGACATTCGTTATGCCACGATTCTCTGCATACTTAAACTTTTTATTAATATTATCGTAGTCAGAAAGTCAAAATCTATAAAAAGCACTATTCCTTTTATTTACACCTTTTGAGCAGAAATTGACCTCTTTTTAAAATCCTTCTTTCATGTAAACAGAAAATTTAAATCATTTAAATTGATTTTTTAATGAAACTCATTTCTAAACGATATATGTTTACGCGGGAATTAGCCGCGTGCAGAACGCTCGCGCGTGTAATATGTTTGTATTTGATCGATTTAATGCGCGACATCGACTCGTGGTCTTTCTATATACATACCTATATGTTATACACCCACTAACATTTAATATCTGTAGATCATCGAAGCAGCTATTGATGACACATGAGACACGCGTCTGAGCATGCAGCTTAAACTGCTGCACAGTCTGCTGTGATATTTCGATGCGGACGCATTTATAGAAGTTACGCAAAATTTTTAAAAAATTGTACACGTAAGTAAATTTTCTTATTTCTTATTTTTGAAGTTTTTGTTTTACAATCATATATGTAGTTATCTGAGACATTTGATTTTTGTTTAGATAAGTATAGTTCTTATTTAATAAAGTTTAACAAATTATTTTTACTTTTCCTTGTCATCGTACACTGGTAATGTTTTTGAAAAATGAACGGATAGGGAGGTCTAGTAGGTTAAACTCACCCTCACGAGAAAAATCTGTTAATGCATAATAGTGCACAGTAGTGACATTTAATAGTGTCACTACTGACATCAGTAGTATCACTGAGCCAGTAGTGTTACTACTGCAGTAGTATATGATAGTACATATAACGTAACATAGAACTATTTTTAATATAGTAATTATAATATTTGATATACAAAATTCATTAGAGTAAAAATACATAAGTAGTATAGTATAACGGGTTCTAACTAAAGTCCTTTGAGGGGGGGCACTTGTAGGCGTGAGGGGAAGGCGCTGAGAATACTCATTGGCGCGAGGGAAGAGAGCGGAAGGCGCGGGAAGGTCCCGGCGCTATCGATATTTACGTAACACCGATATCATTGGTATTAGGTTGGTGCATATGAAATGTCGGATTTTCTTTACATATGAACGTTTGTCTCCCTGTTTTCGTTATGCTTTTGTTTTTGGCATAACCTCGTTTATAGTCGTATTGTCCATTGCCAGAGTCACATTTCAACAAAGAAGATTTTCTCAAAAGTGTTCCATTTTGTTATTTGTTTTGAATTTCGTAAGGATATGAATTCAACCGATATTCATATAATTTTTTTATATGAGTATAAACTTGGTAATAATGCTGCAAAAGCTGCACGCAATATAAACCAAGCATTTGGGGAGAATACTGTTAACGATCGAAAAGTGCAGCGTTGGTTTGAAAAATTTCGGTCTGATGATTTTTCCATACAAATTGAACTGCATGGGAGATCCAAAACATCTGTGAAAAATGATGCTCTGAAAGCATTGGTGGAAACAAATCCAACTATATCTACAAGGGAACTTGTTACCAGAATGAAAGTTGACATACAGGTACCGTAGGAACTAACTGAGCGAAATAAACTGGATCGATTGAACGTACGCTTATTATTACTAATCCGATTTCATTGAGAGCTATTTTTCGATCGGATTATTACTTGTGATGAAAAATGGGTTCTTTACGACAATAGGAAAAGGTGTGCTCGGTGGCTTGATAGGAATGAGACTTGTGCTCATACTCCAAGGCCATCACTTCACCCACGGAAAATTTTAATAACAGTTTGGTGGAATGTGACTGGAGTAATTCATTACTCATTCCTTCGAACTGGGGAGACAATTACAGCCGAAAAGTACTGCCAGTACATTGATGAAATGCATGAAAAATTGAAAATTATACGCCCATTACTTGTTAATCGGCATGGCCCAATACTTCTCTACGACAACGCTCGGCCGCATACGTCGTACAAAACAATTGCGAAATTAAATGAATTAAAATATGAAATTTTGCAGCACCCAGCTTATTCATCGGATCTTTCGCCAACCGACTTTCATTTTTTTAAACATTTAGAACAGTTTTTACGGGCTAAACATTATGAAAATGAAGACAGAAAATGAAGACTGAAAAATTCCATATCAGAGTTTATTGATTCTAAAGATCAGAATTTCTTTAAGATAGGCATCTATGCATTAAAATCTCGTTGGGAAAAGTATATTGAAACAAATGGAGCATATTTTGATTAAATAAACAGCTTTTGAAAAAAGATATGCAGTTTTATATATTCAATTAAAAATCCGACATTTCATATGCACCAACTTAATACATGCCGCCATGTTGTGACGTCACGTATCAGTGGGACCTGAGTGGGACCCCGCCATCGCAGCTGCCGCGGATCTCGCGCCCACCCCAAAATGCGTCGCAGCCGCTACTCCGCACCCGCCCCAAAATATTATACATTGCAGTACTATAACGCGGATAAGATATTTTGTTTAGGAGATCGGTAACATATCATCGATGTTCCGGCTGCTAAACAAAGCGCTGTAAATGATGAAATCTATTGCGTTCTCACAGTTCTTTCTTGCAAGGTCGATAACGATATTTATCTGGGAAGAACCGTGAGATCGGTGATACGTCGCGACGCGTTAAGAGAAGCGCCGATAACGATATTTTTTTAGGATGTGATCGGTGACACGTCGATACTGCGACCACAAAGTGTGACCTAATAAGGAGCGGGAGGGTAGACAAAGGGACAAAGAAGTCACAAATGAAATATATAATGAGTCATAAGCGCGCAGCACCTGAGTTGACGCCTTGTAAAATTACCGAACCAATTGCAATAAGTGTGATGTGAAAAGTATGGCTAACCATCGTGTGAACATGGACGGGAAGAAGTATAATCCAACGATACAAATGTTTTATTGGTTTAAGCGACGGCAAGATGGATCACGCAGAGAAATTTGTGCAGCCTTCGGAAATCCATGCGTTGAACAAACATACTAAACACTGCATAATCTATTATTATTATAATACAACGTATGGTGATGCTTCAGCCTTATGTGCAGCATGTATGATTGAATTATCGAACATTGGCATTGAAGGAATGTAACTCGTTAGGAAACACAAAGACTCTTTCTATACACTAGACAACAGTGCTCGGAATGCGAAAAGCCGACATGTATTCCCGTGTGCTCACTCTGCGAACATTGAAAAAACTAAATTAAATATGTAAGAATGCGACATGATCTAAAGACTGTGAAAAAGACATGGAAAATCACGAGTTAGTGGAACGCGAACTGTTGAAGCAGTGCGGCCAGATCGCTACTCTAGAGGAGTGTTTTGTATGGCTGCAACGATGCGACAAGTGTATCGAGCAGCTCGAAGAACTCTGTCATGCCAAGCGTTCGCGCCTCGCTGTTGTATACAGACAATCCGCAGTGGCGAAAATCACGCGACTCGCGGATGCAAAGACGCAATTGGAACGATGTTTCGTGGCGAGTACGCGAGTGACAACAAAAGATCTCTTGTCTGGCGAGAGATCGACGCCACGTTTGAGAATGTTGTAACCGAATGGTGCTGCGATCAACGCGGATAACATCGAGCTGCTGCGGTTTTTTAGAAGACGCTGGCAATGTAGAGTGCGAGATGCTGTAGAAAGACACAGTAGTATAAAATAAACCACGTTCAACGGTGAGTTCGTGACGAATGATAATGCTAATAAGATCACAATTATAAAGAACAGCGAGATATATCGATGCATCAACAGGCACGAGTGGTACGAAGGACACGTCAGTGTTGTAGGACGAGTCTGACATCGCTCGAAGAGTTCCAGGAACGCGAAGCGGATTGGCGTTGTCGCGAATCCTCAACCGTATCCTTGTTACTGTTAACGTGAACAAACTGATTTCCATACGCACAGGATGTCACATTGAAGTGCCACGAGAAATAATAACGCAATGAATGATAATCAGTACGACGGACATGCGTGTTTTGCTTTGGTGGTTGCCGCTCTGTATCCCGCAGAAAGAAATGCGGATCGAAAATCATACCCGTATTACACAGCAATGTTAAATCTCGCGGGCATCGAGTTTGCAATGATATTAAAGGACATTTCCAGATTTGAACGTGGTATCAACGGTATTGAAAATGGACAGCACATGAATGTTCTGTCTGAATGATCTGCAAGATCCACGCAACGACGATCGAACATTTTGCGTAAATTAAGACATGATGTAATAAGAAAGGTGAACCATTCCAGTGGATGCGCAGTGGACTGAAAGGAGCGGAGGTATATCAGCCAATTAGAATTTGGGCAATTTGTCTGATTCAAAATGACCGATGAAGCAGTCAGTTGCATCGTCGCATAATGTAAATATTATGCTATAAGCACACAGCCAAGAAGAGAGTTATTTTGTGTGTATATATGACAATTTCGATTTCATTATGCCGATGTGCTGTGTCGTTAAACATAATAAAAGTAAGAATGGTCGCGGCAAAGAAAAAATAAAAATGTTTTCTTTCCCCCAAAAGCTAGAACTGAGCAAGTAGTGGCTGGAAGCCTGTAAACAAACACATACTTCAAAATACATCCAGTGTGAGTATTACCGACTATAAATAACATTATATTTCCTAAATTTTTTATTATAATGAAAATCATTGTATTTTTATAAAATTTTAAATCTTATAATTTATTTAACAATCTGAAATATTACCTTTTTAATTCTATTTTTATTTCGTTATATTTTGTAATAGTTGAAAACAATTAATATTTGATTATTTCGAAATTTCATGATGTTTTCAAATATTAATTATTTTCGACTATTGCAAGATATAACGAAATGAAAATAGGATTAAAAAGGTAAAGTTTCAAATTGTTAAATTATCAGATTTACAGAAATAGAATGATCTTCATTACATTCTAAAATTTAGGAAATATATTGTTATTTATTTCTATTTTTATTATTACTTTTATTTCAACTCTATTATTATTGTCTTGCATACAATTGCTTACAATTATAATAATGCAATAGCTTTTGGTACTTTCATGTTTATGTTCCATGAAACATTAGATTTCTAATTTCTAAAATTCCGTTGAAATAATTACTACAAGAGCTTAGTTTATACCGTTTTGATTATACTTGAATTATAATGTAATTTGTAATTATCATAGACGTAAAATAAAAGTGACTTATGAAAGCTCACGACGGAGCCGAGATATGCCGATGAAATCAAGATATTTATTTCATTGGCTTATTTATTTCAACCGATAAAGTGGTGGATTATTAATTAAATTGAAGCAGTCGAAGGAAGAAATTTATTATGTTTTTTTATAAGCAAATAAAAAAAACAAAAAATTTGCTTAAAAATCAAATTTTTTTTCAATATTATTATAAATATTAAAAAATGTTAACATTATGAATATTTGTCATTACTAACAAATATTTTCAGATGTTATTTATGAGCAACATTTTCTGCCCGAGTGCATTGAAGAAAGGATGACCCAACAATATTCCGGCAGACAACCAAGATTGATGCATCATGTTAAAAAGAACGCAGTTCCAACTGAGTTTTTGGATTTCTCGAAAGAAAAGAAAACGTAATCATCAGAAGGGGAAAGAAAACGAGTCGAGTATAGTGTAAGTTAAACATTTCTTATAGAATTAAAGTTTTGAGCAATCATGAATCGAAAAATTTTTTTCTAGAAATCATTTTAATTTATGATAAATCATCTCTTGATCACATATTTAAGACGGATATAACCGATTATACCATTACAAAAATGTTAATTTATTTGTAAATGGTTGTACCCTCGATTGCCCATAGATATAATTTTTTTCTGTTAATACGAACTATATAGAGCTAATATATAGCAATAACTAAGTTCATACGAACAATTCATCTTAAATATGTAACTGAGAGATGATTTATCACAATTTAAAAGGATTTCTTGAAACAAAAAATTATCGGTCAATAATCGATCATTGATCGATCGTAACTTCAACTCGATCCTTTCTTTGTATTCCACGTAATGATATACAACGCATGTTCAAAATTTACAGGTCTATTTTAACTGAATTTATAAGCTATTATAGTGACATTCAAATGTTTGTCCATTCTTACAGCAATGCTCCAATGCCATCGTACAATGATCTCCTGTTTTGTGCGAAGAGATTTGCAGGGACAGAAAGTACAAAGGAAGAAGAGTCGATGACGGATGAGTATAATCAATCGTCGGATTATGTAGAAACAGGACCATATTATCTATTATATATTTGTTATGAATGTATTAGGTGTTGGAATTAATTCGTAGCGTTTTTAAAGTGATGGGAAGTACTTTCATTAATGTATTTTTTAATGCTCATGTGAAATAAATAACATTCTTTCATTAAAAACGCTACGAATTAATTCCAACACCTAATAAATGAATCCTCATGTATGTCAACATTTGATCTTAAATATTCAATAACGTAAAATAATATATTCTAAAAAGAAAAATATCATACATAGTTATAAAAATATTAAATTGTATGTACTTCGCGTTAATTTTATGATGTTCGATTAATAGATATGTTTATTGTATTGTTTATAGATCTGAACAAACAGATAATAATGCAATAGCTATTCTTCTGAAAACGAAATCTGAAATCGATTGAAAACCTTCAAAGAAGAAAAGCTACAGGCCGATCTGAAGATAGCGCAATTCAACGAAGAAATTGTACAACTGAAGAAGAACTTCGAAGAAACGCTTGCAAATAATACAAAGGCTGTTGCAAATTTGTCCGAAAAAAATGAGGAACTGTAGAAGAATTTGACTGAAACACTTTCAAAACGTAAAACAGATTCTGAGATTGCGAATGATACACTTCGCATAGTTTTTACACTTAATACGAAACAAACATCTTGACAAATACGAAAACTTACATCTTCAAAGAAGTGCATAAGGTGGACGGCTGAAGACATATTTTCAGCAATTGCTCTCCGATCCCATAGTAGTAGGGCGTATAATTACCTAAGAGAAATAAAGAATTTTCTCTTGCGTTCAAAAGCTAAAAAGCTGGACTGCGAAATTTGATGTTCAATCAGGCATTTTAAAAGATGTCTTGGAAATAATGGCTAATAAAGCTTATCGAAGCTAGAAAACTGATTGTATTATGTTTTGATGAGCTATTTGTATATTTCTAATAAAGTGGATTTGAAACGTCGGCAGCAGAAAATATGTGGACCGCATAAGACAATCCAGTTCATAATGACACGCAGCTTATTTAGTAATTGGAAGCAGCTTATAGTCTATGACTTTGACAAAAGAAATATTAATGAAAGTTATAACGCATTTTGACTAAATATGGTATAATATTGTAGCAATCATGAGTAACTTGGGACCAACCAACGCGTTGTGGAAAAATATGAATATCGGAGTAATGCTTTCAAGTGCGCAGAAAAATTTCACAGATTCAAGGAAGAATCGGCTGATAAATGGAAGAATCGGCTGATAAAAGATACTTCTTTATACATCCATGTGATGCAAATAAAAAAGTATTTGTATTTGCCGACATGTCTCACTTAATTAAACGAACCAGAAATCATTTGTTCAATTCCGGATTTATTTTAGATGTCTAGCTCATAAACAAAGACATTTTCGAAGAGTTACTTGCGCTCAATTGCAATGAGCTGAAGATAGCCTTCAATCTTACAATGCTAGATGTGAAAAGGAGCCAAAGGCAATCGGTAAAATTAGCTGCGCAAGTCTTCTCCAATAGGAATGTAAAGGCAATTGAATTTTGCAGTAAAAAAGGATTTATTAAGAACAAGAACTGGCAATTAATATTGAATGTTATGCCTTTTCAATCAATAGTTCAATATAATGAATAGCCATAGAAAATTTGGAAAGCATAGTGATTCGCGTGCATAGAATTATAATAGAAAAACAAAACAGTTCTCAACGAAATAGATGATGTCATTACGAAAATGTGTTGTCCAAAAAGAAAGGCATTGTTACCTTTTCAAAAGGGTATCCCATTATGTAACCAATCCCTCAGGCAATTACTACAGTATTTAAAGGAGACATATTCGACGAACGAATTGAGTATTGATTATATTATTACTAGGCGGTTAAGTCAAGATTTGTTGGAAAACTTTTTTTCTTACATTCGAACCATGGGATCTGCACACGATTACCCTTCTCCGATAGAGTTGCAGAACCGCCTCAAATGGTATATATTTGGGAAACATTCTTCGCACGCATTGTCATAGAACAATAATACCGATTGTGACACAACTTTTTTATTGGATGTGAAAGATGTGCACGAAGCTTTCTGCGAAAGAGACATATTCGATTTCGAAGATGTAGAGCTCGCAAAAGGAAAATATTTATGGAAATGGACTTACATGATTGAGGAATGAGGAACGTGAGGAATTTGACGAAAGAGGTACATTTGTTAATATAAAACTGTTACTTTTGAATTCATGTACATATTATTTATACACTTCCTTCTTCAGTGCAACATACAACATAGAGAATTAATTGTAAGAGTGTAATTGCATAAAGAAATTGTATATTATTGAATTA